TATTACCCCGGCGGAGGTGTATCCCAGACCCATGAAACCCTTACGTTGGAAGAGTACCCACGCACCATCAGATTTAGACGAAGATGAGATGGCGACCTGCTGCTGCTGCTGCTGCGGTTGCTGGGATCATGGGAGAAATAGAACTGGGAACAGTATAGCTGCGGCCAGGTTGGGGCAATTCGTCCACTGGCACCATCCATGCATTAGCGTTACAGCGAGCAGCCTAGCACGTATGCTGCTCTGCGCTGGCCGTCCAGTCAGACAGGTTGCGAAAATTGCTCTGATCCGACCTTTCCGCTGGAGAATGACAAGACACGCGGGCGACACAGCCTGATTGAGAGAGAGTCGGACCTGTAGAGCAGCCTGTCCCAGTTGATAAGCCAGTTGTAATATCCCACCGTGTCGATGCAAGAGCAACATCCCTGCTGAACCAACAGGCGAATCGACATCGGCCACCTTATCCCTCCGTACCAGCGTGGCTGGTTGCGACCGAGGGATTGGCCGAATGAATGCCTTCAAACGGAATGGCCGAGCCTGGGACCCCCGATAGCGCGACCCGAGGGTTTGGAACCGGAGCGGGGGATGACCAGCCCGCATTGATAACGGGACGGACGGAGGTCGTAGGCCATGTCGTCCGCCCAGAGGATAAATGCACGAGACGGCAGGGGATGGCGGGCAACAAGGAAGGTAGTCATGAAGTTCCCTTGCCCGGCCGAGCATTGCAGCAACCTCGTCGATTGGGATTCGTCCGGGGACCACGGAAGAAGTGCAGGGTCAAGGTCAAGGGCCGCGGCCTGTGCCTCTTCGACATGCTCATGACCGGGGTGGTCGTACGCAATGTGCAGCGGGAGGGCCTTCCCTCTTGCATAACCGTCCGTTCTCATCGTGTCTTACTTTCTCCCCCACGATGGCACGGACTTTGCTGGCGCTTTCAAGTTATCATTTTGCGATTCGCAACTCTGAAAGTCCAGAACCGGAATATTTACCTCATTCATCGTTCGTCTAGCATGCGTCATTTGGCAGTCCAATGGGCAGCTCTTACGCAGCCCTTACGCAGCGTTGCCAAAAGCCGCAACTGGCGACAGCACCATCCAGGATTGACAAACATACATCTTTAGATCCCAATCCTGGCAAATTAAGTTAGTTATTACTCGTAGACAATAGGACGTATAGGGCCAGGGTCTCGCATTAGTAAAAGCGCCGAAAACGCACAGAAGCTGCGTCCAGGCCAAGTCCAGCATGAGGCCGCCCATGTGCCGAGGCCTACCACCGAAACATGACGCCGTTTTCATCGACAACGTATCTCCGTCTTTGCCGAAGGAGTGAATCGTAAGTTCGAGTTTAGATCATGCAATAACAGAAAACCTCTGTTAGGCAGGGATCAACTCATTGAGCCTTGTTGCAACTAGGGCATGGGAGGCATGAATAACAGTTCCATATCGTATCGTCTTAGCTCTGTGATTGTGTCATACTCATTTGGTAATAGTCGGCCTAACACAGAGCTCAGCTACGTGCTCATGTTAGACCGACCAGGAAGGCAGCTAAAGAAGCGGTGTGGTTGATGTTGTGTGACAAATTGCACCGACCTGGAAGAGCTTCCATGGGTGTCCTTGAAAATATAATGTCAACTCTCTCAAGAGTTCTGCAAAATGAAAAGTTGAACTCTGGTTGTTGTTTTCTTTTGTGTCTTTAGTAGTTATTTGGGACGCTACACTATATGTAGAGTACGCACTCGGCCGTAAATGATTCCTAAAGTCCCCATCCTGCTGTCATCACTCGGCATGATACCATGGACTTCAGGTCCGGGCCAATCGCCGTTCGTCTTTTGTAGGAGCACGAGTTGCCGCTTTCAGAATAGCGGGCCGTTATGTTGGAGGTGAATTGTCACGGCGCACATATACATAGGCTATTGAGTGAGAACTATATTGCAATGTCCATTGTTATTTGCTCATATAGGTATAATGATAAGTAGAATGTGGGACGATTACGGTCTCGTATATTGGATGATTAAACTATGTGCGAAACCTGAGAGTGTATGATAATCAAAGATCATAAGATAGAGCCTCCTCAGGCCGTAGACACATCTTATCAAACTTGCTAAAGATGCAGAACAGCTCTCAATCAGTGAGAATTTTCATCAGCAAGCTGCTAATGCCTCATCACTAGAGGGATCTTTTTGATACGGACTGACATCCTCTTTAGGCCCTTTGAGGATTACACAGGCTGGCATTATGAGTTTCAATACTCCTTTGCAACAATCATTGAGCGACGGATATAGTCTACGCCCTTTCACGTGAAGCCAGATTACTGGCTTTGTCTTCGGCCTGGTTTGACACAATGATGCGACCCGAGAACTCTGCGGTATACAACTGCATGAGTCGATTCTGTCTTACCTCATTTCTACATTCTTCCTACCCATGCCCGGTCATTTCAGGATATCCTCGTTGCAAAATTGCACCAGCAACATGAGATTCCTGGCAGGCGGCCCAGAAACATCGCAGCATCGGGCTTGTGGTCTAGTGGTATGATTTTCCCTTAGCATCGAGGCGGTCTAGAATCTGAAGTCTGGAGTCGCAGCAGCGCCTGGGAGAGGTCCGGGGTTCAATTCCCCGCGAGTCCAGCTCTTCTTTTTGCTATTATGTTTGTGGCTTACAATGTAGGTATATCGATTCGTGCTTGGATTGAGTGGTGCCCGTGGGTATGTGGTGTGGAGTCAGGTGGCATGAAAGACTCTCACCTAATTATTACCAGTTTTTTGTGCTGGATTTTTCATTTTTACGTAAGGCAATGTGTCAAGGACTAAGCAGGGCCTTAGTCGTTCTGAACACAGCATGAAATCATAGTAAGACATGAGAGAAACAAAAAAGTCGATGATATCAAAGATGCATCAAAAAGGATGGACTCGCGGGGAATTGAACCCCGGACCTCTCCCATGCTAAGGGAAAATCATACCACTAGACCACAAGCCCATTTGGAGCAGATCATGTTCGCTGACTCGCTTGCTTGACCGCTTGTGATGGATGTGGCGCTTATTGCGGGTTATGTGACCTCGGAGATTAGGAGATTGGAGTGTGAAAGGGTTTGCTCGGGTTTTGTGCGGTTTGGGCCAGGTGGGTGGGCAAGGTGGGGTCGGGTCCGACCGCTTGGGCCGCGGCTCAGTCTAAGCTTAGTGGAAGAGCGGCTCGGCTCCGTTGGGTTGACTGACTAATAGACCGATGGGATTGTAGGAAAAGTGTGAGATGAAAAGACAGAAAATTGAGAAAACAATAATAGGATGTCTTGTACTTCTTAAAGATAGAATGAGATGTAGGTTTATCTTCATCTCGATTCGTTGAATTGAGAGTGAGGTCAAAGCATTGAGCATCCTGGTAGACAGTCACACATATCCATGACACGGTACCTCATTGTATTGACATGGTTCTCACATTTTCTTGACCACAATCTTCGGAATCTTGGAAGTGAACTAAAGGAGTCAATTTTGACTCAGTTCAGCGGCATGGATTCTATTTATGTTGGGGCTCTTTGATCTACGTGTTCCGTACGTGTGACTCACTCTGCTAGTAGGCGACCGTAAGACCTGGGAAGCCAGGAACGCACACATGATGCAGTGCTTTGCCATTTCAGCAGCATTTAATAACCAACATAGCAAAAAAAACGAGACAACATACAGGATGAATTTTTGTATTGTATGATCATGGTATGAAGCAATACCTGTCTAGAAGCAACTAATGACTGAAGATAAAGTGGGACAGACCACACTTTTACCAATGCCATCCAACGCCTGCCAGCCCCCCTGAGCAAATTCAATGAATGATGACCTTGACTCCAAGCTGCTACCATAAGCAAAGAGGCAGTCCGACAGAACTACCTCCGACCGTAATGTACAAGACGACCAAGGAGAGGTGCGCATGTACTCATTAGAAAGGATCCTCCCCATCGCCGAACTCGTCGACCTCGTCAATCGTGCGAATCAACACTCGGGCTCCCGCGGCCCGCATGCCAACTAGCTGTGCAGAGTCCCTTGAGTAGAATTGATATGACTAGGATTCCTTCTCCTTGTCGGGCTCTGCTGAAGCAGCGGGGGCGTCATCTTTCACCTCAACTTCCATCTTGTCGCTGCCTTGCGCGGGAGTGGTAGCCTTCTCAGGCTCGGCAGATGCCTTTGGTGAGCCTGTCTCCTTGTCCTTGGGCTCTTCAGTGGCCTTGGGGCTTGCCACCTTGTCCTCAGAGGCTGGGGCGGGCTCTGTCTCCTCTTGCTTGATGGTCGTCTCAGGTTCAGCTGCGGCTTCCATGTCAACATCGCCATCGTTATCGACCTTGGCAGCTGGTTCGGCGGGCTTGTCCTCATTTGTGGCGTCAACGGCCACATCCTTTGGCTGAGCCTCGACATCCTCCATTGTCTCATCACCATCGTGATTCTCATTCTCCGCCTCGGGCTCGTCCTCGGCAGCTGGAGCCACTGAACCATCCCGTTGTCCGTTTACTGGGGTAATAGCGCCACTGTCCATATCCGTATCAGCATGCGGGTTTTTGTAGTCCATAATGCCCATTCTTTTGCCGTTGGTCTTGTGAACGCCATTCGCAGTAGCCATATCCTCATCGTCGCTCTCTTCGAACTCGTCTTCGCGGGTGATGCTCTTCTCCCACTGGCGCTGGGTGACCCGTTCGTCCTTATGCTCGTCTTCATCAAGATCGTCAAGTTCTGCCTCCTCCTCGTCGGTCATACCGAGTCCCTGACGCGGGGTGTCCTGCATCTGCACGGACGGCACAGGGGCTGTCTTCTTCAGGTTCTCGATGACTGCAATCTTGATCTTCTCGAGGTAATCGGTGCTATTCGCATTCTCCATGTTGGAGGGACGGACGTTGAGCTCATAGTCGGGACCATAATACTGCCAACTATCAGTGAATAGCACAAGAGGAAACCAAGAAATACAAACTTACGTCATAGTACTCATTGTACGGCAGGACAGGATCCATCTCGACGCCAACAAGACGACCGGTCTCGTAAGCCCATGTTCGGGCAACGTTTCGCATTGTGTAGCCACCACCGCCGAGAACAAGAGTCGGGAGTCCAAAACCACGCACGAAGTTAACGCAATTGGCATGTCCTCGCATGCTCAGATTGAAGCAGCCAAGTCGGTCACCAGACAAGCTGTCACCACCACACTGGAGGACGACTGCCTCCGGTTGATAGTACTCCATGACAGCAGAGATGACAGGCTCGAAGATGGTCTTGTAAGAGGCGTCGGTGATACCGTCGCGGAGAGGAAAGTTGACGGCATAGTTCTTGCCTGTGCCGATACCAATGTCGCGCAGCTCACCAGTACCTGGGAAGTACTCGCCGTATTTGTGGAAGGAGACGGTCATGACACGGTCGGTTGTGTAGAAGGCCTCCTCAACGCCATCTCCGTGGTGGACATCAATGTCGATGTACAAGACGCGCTTCTTGAATCGGAGGAGCTCAATGATGGCAAGAACAATATCTAGAAAGATCAGAATGAGTTATTGAAGAACATTTTGCAAGGTAGCTCACCATTCACGTAGCAGAACCCGCTAGCTTCGCTCTTCTTGGCGTGATGTAGACCACCAGCCCAATTGATTGCAATGTCGCACTTTTGGCGGTTCAAACGGGCGGCACCCTCCATGCTACCACCAGCGCTGATACCGCAGAACTCGAACAGGCCATCGAACACGGGACAATCATCTCCGACATTGTATTTGCCCTGCTCTTTTAAGTAACTGTCCATGTTGTCTGGTGTGACCTTCTGGAGGAAGTCGATGTACTCGTCGGTATGAAATTGGGTCATCTCAGTAAAGACAGCGGGCTTCGCGCGCTATTCAGGTTCTTGTCAGTAATCATGACATGTTAAATTGTTTCAAGCATTGTTGTGCGAGAGGGGCTCGAAAGATGCAAGAAATGTCAGAGGTAGCGCAGACAGGGAGACTCACATAGACCTCCAGAAACTTGTAGACATTGTAATTCATGACCAAGCTATGCGCCAGCCTGATACGATGAGGCTTCATAGGATGGCCGGTGACGTAGGCATAATTGCCGATATCAGAGTCGTAGAAGTAGGCGACTCGTTTCTTGTTCACGCTCACCGGGCTGTAGAGAGGATGGGAGCGGTCGACTCCCGCGGGATCGGTCATCTTCGTACTGGGATGCGACAGAGAGCTCGTAAATCGATAGTTGGAAGGATTTTGAAGAGGGAAAAAAGTAGAAATTGAATCCTGAGATTGCAAAGAGACCTAGAAAGATATCCGCGCAAGACGAAACGGCGGATTCGAAGCTTGAAAGTAGAACAAGCTGATCGCCTTATAACACAAAGTGGGATGGATGGTGGGAGAAACGAGGCCGAGTTGCAAAAAGCGCCGAAAGGCATTTGAGCTTCCCCCAGCCGCCTACTGGGAGCCAGGAGCCGCTAGCCAAGCCAAGCTTAGCGCACTCTTGTGCTCCAGGGCTGGATTGGAACAATATTAGTGACGACCAATGAGGAGGCGTTTCACACATGCTCACGCCACCCGAGCCACACAAGGCTGGGATGGCCCGAGCTCCCTGAGGCGCTCACGTGATCAGGCGCTGCGCTGAGAAATCCGTTTGCTGGCGCCGCCTTAGGTGCCCTGGCCTACCTTTCCTTAGCCTCCAGTCAGCCACGGCCACTGCTACCGCCAGGCTGCTTCGAGCTGTCGTCAACATCCATACCAAAAACAACGAAGCTTCATCATCACCACCACCACTCATTCTACAGGTTAACCACCACGTTTGCGTTTGCGTCCGTCTCATCTTTCATTAGCCCTGGTCAAATTGAGCCTGGTCAAGATTGTCTCAAGTCGCCTTCCTTTGTCCTTCCTATCCCGACAGACGACATGGAGCGCCTCAGAACGATGTTGGGAGCCGGTGGCCTGGGTGGCCTCGGTACGCAGCCCGGATCGGTAAGCATCTCTTCATATGCTCTCTGACCTACTCAGAGCAGGCTTCGTCGATCTACGCGATGCTGACTATGCGGCTTTGTAGGATAACTCGAACCTGATCGATAACTCCGAGACCGTCTACATCTCCTCCCTAGCTCTACTCAAGATGTTGCGACACGGCCGCGCAGGTGTTCCCATGGAAGTCATGGGCCTGATGCTAGGAGAGTTCGTCGATGACTTCACCGTTCGAGTAGTAGATGTGTTTGCGATGCCTCAGAGTGGTACTGGCGTCAGTGTTGAGGCCGTCGACCCTGTATTCCAGATGAAGATGATGGACATGTTGCGGCAAACGGGCAGGTACGGATGCGCATAGTGTGATGTTGACAAAGGATTAGATCAGCTAACAAACCGTTTGGCAGACCCGAGTCAGTCGTTGGATGGTACCACTCGCATCCTGGCTTTGGCTGCTGGCTGTCGTCGGTTGATATCAACACCCAACAGAGCTTTGAGCAGTTGACGCCCCGAGCCGTCGCCGTCGTCGTGGATCCTATCCAATCAGTCAAAGGCAAGGTCGTCATTGATGCCTTCCGTTTGATCAACCCCCAATCCCTCATGCTTGGCCAAGAGCCCCGACAAAGCACATCGAACCTCGGACACCTCAACAAGCCATCCATTCAGGCCCTCATCCATGGGCTCAACCGACATTACTACTCTATCGGCATCAATTATAGGAAAACTGCGCTCGAGGAGAACATGCTCATGAACCTACACAAGCAGGTCTGGACCGAGGCGCTCCAAATGGAAGACTTCAGATTAGAGGGTGACCGAAACAAGGAGCGACTCGAGAATCTAGTCAGCTTAGCGGAGGGCTACGAGAAGAGAGTTAAGGAGGAGACCGAGCTCACCAAGGACCAGCTCAAGACACGCTATGTCGGCAAACTAGACCCGAAGAAGCATTTGGAGGATGTTGGGCAACAGCTTATCGAGGACAACATTGTCGCCGTCTCAAGACAAATGATCGACAAAGAAGCTACGATGCCGAAGAAGGAGGCTACGAATGGCACGAACGGCGCATCAAACGGTGACGATATGGAAGTTGAGGAAGAGGAGCTCTGAAGTTGGCAATTGAGTTTTGGAGGAATAGACATGGAATTATCCGACTGCTCGTCGGCATGTATGAGTAGGCGTTCGGCTAGAACATCTTGACCAATAATTGGGATGAGAGCCATTTCTGCGGTTCCTTCGCATGACACGGTTTTCAAGTTCATTCCGGCCCGATGCGAATGTGAGCATTCAGTACAAAGCCTTTGTTCCATCTCGGCCATGTTGGGGGCTGTTCATGTCCGGACAATGCCTGTGGTATGTTCTTTGAACATGATTCTTTTGCCTTTGTGATTAGTCTTTTATATTGAGCAACCAGCGTTGTTCAGGCATACGATCAAAGCACCTTTGTTTTCCTTGGCTCTGTTTGTGTATATAATGTCGTGACTGGCCGTCCCAGAGACAACTGGCTCCCTTAGCTAGCTACATTGTTCGAGATCCTTCCTCTTCTATAAAGATCCTAGAACCCAAGTGCAGGAATCATCACAGACATGGCCGGACCATCGAACATCTCTTTCGGCAACACTCCTTCAAGACACACAACGGATCAATCGCAACCACAGCCATCCAAGATGTCGAACTACTCGTGGTTTGATTCTGTCTTTGGTTTCTGTTTGCCCTGGATCTTACCCAGTCGCGCAATTTTGCAACCAGTCGACGGCCGCCCTGCAACTCCTTACCCACACCCGTTTTCCCAGTACACTCCTAGCGATGCGTACATCAACACACAGGCTAACTCTCTCGCGAAGCTACCACCGCGACGCACGTACGGCAACATGACGGAGGACACACTCCCACCAAGACGCAACCACAGCACAGGTAGCAGCACAGCAAGGCCACGGAACCAACCAGACAACGACAAGCCGCTTCCTCACTTGCCTCGCACCACTGCTCGCTTTTCTTCCACACGGTCTCGACGGCCATCGCAAGACTTGGGTGACCTCGTCTCAGATGAACTTCCCAAGGACTATCCTTTGGTGCCATCTATCATGGTGGAGATTGTCGACAAGTTGGACCAGATATTTCACCATATCCATTATGCAATCTGCGGTCTCAGTGCTATGTCTCTGTGGGGCTACACCCAGTCCGTGCCTGTTCACATCTCGATCCTTGTCCCGGATTACAGCAAAGACGTTGTGAAGTCATGGGGCAAGACAAAGGACCTCGAGACACACCCCGACAAGCCAGATTACCTTTGGCTACGGACTCGCGACGGTCTTGCCAGAAAGATCCGCATCAAGTGGCTGAGTGAAGAGAGCTTCAGCAAAATTTCGATCGTATCGGTGCCACTGTCACTAACCCCTGACGGCGAGATTGGGATGGCTACATCCGCTGGCCCATCAACCTTTGGCGGTCTGGCCAACACCAAGGTCGTCTCTCTCGCGTCCATGCTCAACCAAATCGCCGAAGCGTACGTCAAGGACAAGCGGGCCCAGAACAATCCCAAGTACATGGCGACGATCGCGAGCCATGTCTTCTGGCTTCTGCACAAAATCATCGACGACGGTCTGATCAAACAGGGTGCGATTTCCCTCACCCTTGACAATGTGCCGGCTGTGGTGGACCCCAAGTTCTGGGACGCCTTCACGAAAAGGTACCCAGAGGCCCCTGGACTGTTCGCGCGTGCCGGGCTGGGGACCTTCAGACCTCAACAGAGCGCGTTGGAGGAGCCCAGCGACCGGTTCGACGGGTATGGAGCTTACCGTTCCCCTACTAACAAGAGTGGCATGTACATGCATGACCACGCCGGACGCAGTTTGACCAGTGTCTACACTGGCGTTGCACCCAATCTTCGTGACAGTGTAGCTACAAGTGTAGCCACCTACGGCTCGCATGTGGACAGGAAGCCTACTGAAGCCAGCAACTTCCAGGCCGACGCGGTCAAGGACCGAGAGAGCAGGTACAAGCGTGTCTCTTCTTCTGGTTCAACACATTCTAAGCAGAATGTTGAACAAAACCTTGCTACATCCGACAGGGCGGACAGGAACAGCCGAACTTCCACCTCGGGCATGACTGTTGCCTCAGTGGATGGAGTCATGGTTACCTCTGGTATGTTTGGTAACTTGTTCCGTGACGATGATTGAGATCAAAACATCAACAGAGATAGAAATATCAGCGGGCTGGACCACTGATAGAATTTAACAAGGTAAGATTCGGACAATAAAACACAGATCAAAAACTTCTTTATTTGCTTGCTCATGATGTGAAAAGCTGACTTCCTGAAACTTCAGCCTATTTAAGTGACCGCTGCTCCGAATTACATCTTCTGGCAGAGGCGCCTTACGCCGACTTACTTTTGAGTCGACGTTGTTCCTTGATTTTCATCGAAGAGGTTGACTTCGCTTTGTTTCTTCTCTTCGGCTTCTGGCTCTCTTTGTCCTCCTCTCTCTTCTCCTTTCTTTCTGCTCTTTCAGCCCGGCGTTCCGCCTCCAGACACTGCACGCAATTATTGTACGTGCTGTGATATGTGCCCTGGTGGACTGGGCACTCGACGAGATGCCCTCTTGTGGTAACACATCGCAAGTCATTCTTCAAGCCGCACACTGGGCTTTTCAAACAGTCAGCAAATGCGGGACCAGCCGAGGTTGTGCTATCGTTGTCTTCTTACCAGTGATGAGAGGTGGGATTCATGATGGTGGTTTTCCTGAAACTTGAGATTGGGAACCTCAGGCAATCAATCGAGTATTGGAGAGTTCTTCTTCCAATTGGTGCTCAACGGCCTTCTTCTTCAGACAATTGATGTATCGATTATAAAATTTCGCAGCAATGCGTGACGGATATAGCTGAGTGAAAATCTGGTACAGCGAAGGATTAGCAGAGGAGGGTTGCTTTCCGTCAATTTGTTTGTTCGACAGAATCTCTAGTGAATTGAGAACGGTTGGGTGTATTATTCACACTTTTCTGCAGCTAACCGTTGCGGTCGACTTCCGTCTGTAGAAAGCCGAGAATTCCAAAGGTTGCTGAACAACGGACGATGCTGCCTGCTGTTTAACCTTCTCGGTAGTTCCCACCACGACACAGAAAGACGATATCAGAAAATTATATTTAATTGAGCCTCGCCCAAAGCACCTGCATTACGACGGACATTGATCACAAGTTTAAAAGAAAGAACGAGCCATTTTGGGCTTCAATTGCAACCCCGAATCGCATATTCAGATTCAGCCTAACAACCTGGCATTGGCGAGGCTGGATACCCGCGGGAACCCAACGAAGCACTGCACTTTTAGTTCGAGGGAACCAGCAACAAAAATTCTCAGTCCTTGCACGTGTCTGTGCTCACTAGGCATCCAGTGGTATGGCAGAATTATAAGTAGAAATTGTCTATAATTGATTCGGGATAGACTCGATTTCTCGACGCTTCCGTTGCAACCCGGCAATTTGCCCCTTTTGTCGACTTGGATATCTCCAGAGTACCAAGCAATCTTGCATTAAGCACCGTATTCTTATAGTACTGAAAGAAGACTCAGTTGCTGATGCATCATTTGATTGTTTGTCGTGGGCGTTTGCCCTGGATATTATAGCAGGTTTGACATGAGCAAAGGGCTCCTCCTTCAAACATAAGGATCTGACTTTCTTCTAGCCACATTACTAGGCTTCTAAGGGATCCCTAACTGTGTTCTTCTAGACTCTAATTGGTAATATCGGCAGTTCCTGTCAAACTCTAGTAAGTTGAACAATAAGACCATCCTTTCCAATGACTCATGATAGAGTTTCAGCGTCACTTGTTGTTTCCAGTATAGTAAGCTGCAATATACCAGTAAAAACATGTCTATGTTCTCTCAGGAGTCACAAATCCATTACACTCTTGAGTCAGTATAACGAATATTATGTCTGTGTCTGAACGAATAACGGCAAGTAGATAGTACGTCTGGAAACATTCTCCGTGGAGGTAAAGCCCTGTCTCCATTCTAAATCTAATGGACGTTTGTTAAATCGAGATGCTCTTCCAGGCGTCTAACATGTTCCGTATCACAATCCCTATGTAAATACTAGCTCACATCTGGTACAATTGTATCGTGAAATTCTGATGAAATACAAGAGAAGGAGCTTTCGGTTCAACATCTTAATAGCAATCAAATAATTTGCTGGCGCCGTGTTTCTAATTTGTGGTCTTGCTCATTGAGCGCCCCTTAAGACTACAACCGAATATTCATCACTTTACCTTTCTTCACCTTGACTTAGTCGAGACTGAAGCCTTTGAAGAAAGATTTGTTGTGTTGCAATACTCTAGATCACTCACGTTCTTTGGTCTCGCTGTGGTATTAATGCGCTCCCTTACTCATGACCTACTTAAGCAGGTCAGCCTTCTGGGCCCTCTGGCACCTAGTAGTTTTACTTAGACCTTACGGAATAGCCTACTGGAGAACAACAAGGCCCGGGTGAGCAAAGAAAATTCTTGCATGGCCGCTTGCAAGTGCTAATAGATTGTCTGTTCCTGAAGTCTCCAGCGTGCATCAATGACCTGCTCCCTTTGTTAATAGTCGTAAACACAAAGAAAATCACACTACTTCCAGGCATGTAATTATTTCACTGAAGGTGGAGGGCTCCTCTCTGAGGCATAGATAAATGTCATGATTGTCGTGATTTCCGGTGCAATGTCATCCCTAAGCAATAAAACTAGAGCCTCCAGTGTTTTCCGATGGACCCTATATCGATCTGTCCTCAAGCTGCCATCAATCGTGCCGCTTGAAACACCGACGGGCACCTGCTCGAGGCGACCAACCCCTACCATGTCCATCCAGATACTCCGTAGACCTTTTGTAAAATCCGAATCCGAATGCGAATTAACCCTTTGCCCTAAATCCAACCCGAGAGTCGGGACACAAGATGAACCATGAATCCTTTTGAGGCGTGTGGCTACGCTACGGGTGTGTGCTACCCGAGTTACGCTCTGGATTGAGCGTCGCAGTCAGCACCTCGGCCAGAGTCTCGAGGCGATCGAGCTGCCCCTCGTCCATCAGCATGTGGCGCCGATGGTTCTCCACCATCTGCGCGCTCCAGGAGCCACAGCCGCGGAGATGCTCTACCGCCAGAGCCTCCCAGATCTGGGCGAGGCGTGCCCTGAAGTCGCGGACCGAGACGATGTCCAGCTGCGTGAACTCGGCATAGGTGAGCCCGCCGCTCAAGCCGTGCTCGATCCAGTCCGATCCGTGATTGGACAGGATCAGGGTCACCGTGTTGAACAGGGCGCCGTAGGACTGGATCACGTCCGAGGCGAGGCCCGCGCCGCTCGAGGGGAGGGCCGACACGCAGTCGGAGAGCAGCTCGATCGTACGCTGCATCTCGTCCTTGAGGCGGTAGAGCTCTTGTCGGAGGACCCACATGTCGGAGCTCGGGGTGGGCCGGCACGGCTGACGGGGTTGGGCGTTGCGGATGGGGATCGGCATGGCGCTCGTCGAGGCTGTGGATGACGATGTCCTGCTTGCAGCTGTGGAGGCACCAGCACCACCCTGCAGGGTGGGGAAGTTCATTTGCTGGGTCTGGAACTCGTTGTAATCTCTGTAGGCTTGATCAGTACCGCTGTACATCTATCGTATAGATCTGAACACTTACACCTGCATGATGGGCAAGAAGTCTTGCATTTGTGACTGATACTCGGACAAGGCAGCATGGTATTCCTGCAGAGCCACGGTATCCGCAGCTGGGACCTCCGCCCGAGCATGTCGTTGCATCTCAGCTTGCAAGCCTAGCAGCTTCACCCTCACCCCAGACATCCATCCATGTAGGTTCGGGTCGAGAGGGATGTCTCTTGACGCCACACTCCAGAGCCGTGAGTAGTTGGAAACGATGGGGATCAGCTCATCGACCTGCATTGAGAGGAGGCCGCAGACACTGGAGACTCTGTGTGACAGTCCGCTGAATGGCATGAGCTCTTTGCTTGACTGATTTGTCTCTGTGATGATCTCGGACAGAGACCGTAGTACTCGGAGAAAGAAGGCTGGGTCTGGGTCGGGGTGGGAGTCGAGAAGCTCCTCCACAGCATCGTCCGACTCATATTGGTATTCTTCCGCATTGAAGGGATTCGACGGGTCGTCCTCCCCTCTTGTCTCCGAGGTGTCATTGTTCTTGTCAGTCTTGCCGCTTGTTCTGTCGGTGGGTAGGAAAGGATGGTCGAGGGGTGCCACAGAAGGGAGCCCGGTGGGATTCGAGATGGCCGGGGGGCATTCGATGGCGGCACCATCGGGAGCAGGCGGACGAGAGATCGGTATCGGAGCTGTTGTCTTGGGAGGCGGCGATGGACGACGGGTGGGTTTGGATATGCCGGCTTCTGAGTGCGAGAGTGCTTCAGCCTCGTCATCGGTCCCCGGTGCGGAGATGACTGAAAAGTCGTCGTCCGAGACCTCTTCCCAGCCCTCGGAGATGCTGGTGCGTCGTGGCATCCTGAGAGGACGTCTGTCTGTGTGTCTGTCGGGCTTTGCAAATATATGGAGTGGAATGGAGTGGAATGGAATTGTCGATGCTTCAATGACGGTCACACGATGCTCGAGTTTTGGCAGGAGCAGGAGCAACCTCCATCGGACCACTCGTCAGAGGGTGTGAGACGGAGTCACTCGCCGGGCAAAGTACAGTACCGGTATCCCTTGGAGGATGGATGGCTGGTTGGACGAGGGGAGCCTGGCGCCTGGCGCAGGAGGGAAGAGAAGAGAGTTGAGGCTCGGCCCCCACGTTTAGGCTCAGGGAAGGGAACGGAACGGTGGGAGAGACGGTACACGTACAGACAGGACAAGGCAGGAGCAGGACCGTCAGATGGGATCACGAAAGCGAAAGGCCTGGGAACCAGGTGCCAGAGTCCTGCCGGTACCTCAGGTCTGGTCGCCTGCACTGCGGGCCACAGCGAAAACGGAACCTTGAACCTTGAACGGGGCTGCGTGCGAGTTGTGCAACGTCGTCTCATCTACCGTCCGTCGGTCGGTAAGGCGGCTGTGACTATAAGATACTGTACAGTATAGTACAGTACAGTACAGTGGACAACAGCAGGCAGGCAGGGCGAAGAACAGTCAAAGTCATGCAGCCTTCACAGCCCTCTCTGGTTTTTTTCCTTCTTTTCTTCTCCTGCCCAATCCCGGAGCCTTTCGAAGGGCCGCGCACGCATTCTCGAGGTGTGGGATGTGGGAAGCCTCACCTCTACCTCCACACTACGTAGAGACGCGGGCTTTTGGACGAATGACATGTTGGAGACAGGGGAAGCTTTCCTCAGGATAGGTAACTTCCTGCGTAATGAATAAAAAAGCAGCCTGCCTGGAAGCTCCGTCTGACCCCGCAGTGACAGCGAGTGATAAGCTTGGATCACTAACTAATTAACTAGCTAAGTTAATGCTAGCGTCGTTGCGGCCCGTGAGCCCAAGGCCTAAGGCTGTCGCGCACGGGCCATCTGTCTCGTCTCAGACCTCCTCCGTTTAGCTTGCTGGCTTTGTTTGCTTTGTCAATTCGTTCAAGCTACAATGAAACAAGACACGATACTCTGTCTTTCGACATCAACAACTCACCATACCTTCAATATGACTAGCCAAACATTGTTTGCAATATTTTCTTCCTCCTACGATTTCGTACGTCGACAACCGAGTCTTCATTCTATCTATGATCGACCCAATCTACCTCCGACCGACCAACAAGCCTTGTATCATCGCCTAGACGACGCCGATTTCCAATCGTAGATGATCGAATATAAGGGAAGAAGCCGAGACAGGAGAGAGATCTCGCTATTCACGCGACTCTCTGAATCTCTGAAGACGCATCGTATCCGTCGTCTTTCCCTCGGCTATGGCCCATGATTCCTCACCAGAAAGAAGCCTCGGTTCGGCCAGCCGATGCGCGATGGCTCGAGCCGAACGACGTAGTACATGACGCCGGAGATCTCCTTCCCACTTACGCTTGCCGTGAGTCCGTATGCCTCTCCCAAGTCCAGGGAATGCTCCGCTGGTTCGCGCGTATACTTGACCTGATTGCCCGTCCCAAAGTCCGAGGTAGACTCCCAGACAGAATACAGTCGAGCGAGATCGCGCTTGTCCCCGTCAAACACAAGGCGGCACCACGGCGCAGGACTCTCACGACGTGAGTCTGCTTGCCTCCCCAGCAGCAAGCACACGTCCGACCGGAGACCGCTTCCTGGTGGCTGATGCTCCGTAAATGGCTCCCCGTTGAAACGGCCGATAAATCCCAATCCGAATACTCCGTCGACCACCCTAAACCTGTCCTGGTCGTGGTATTTACGTGGCACGGGCACCCCTCGGAACTGGCTTGAATGCCTATCCCACCTCTCTGGAGGGAAGACGTCCACAACCCGCGCGTGAAAGTCATGAGCACGGAAGCTCACGATCCAGAAGTTGGTGTTTTCAGGAGGGTCTTGAGCCGCAAGAAGAGAGAGAGACCACGCTTTGACAGCAAGATCTGGAGCGGGCAAACGGTGTGTGATCGTGATCCTCCTCTTCTCCCAACGTAAGTTGTTGCGATCTAGCAAATCAGCGAGGTCACTGCCCAGCTTTTTCGCGGATATGTCTCACCTAAAGCCTCTTTGTAGACGGGATGTTCTAGGTGCGTAGGATCAAAGCCTAAAACTGCAGAGTCGTTCAACAGCGCACGATGGTCAAAGTAGGCGAACTCTGTCCTTCCAGCAGTGATAATGCGATAATAATGACTTTCGCCGGCTGTCTGCTTTGCATTTACCCTCTTCAACCTGATGGTGGGAAACGTCCCCGGCACGCTTCCTATCTGGCAGTCCAAAATCGCCTCAACCTCCGCAAAGTAATCTTCTTTATCGTCATTTGCTTGATGTGATAGCCCCGCAGACATGAGCAGCAAGTCTAGAGAGACGCCTTGATTCGTGATCATCATTGGCGTTTGACCAACTCGGTGGAATGGGTGAGGTGACACATCACCAGATTCGAGAAATGCCTTTGCGGATGGCGCCAGAATATTGACAGGGCCCCCGCGCGGTGCAGCAGTCGCGTACCACGCGAAGATTGAGTGGTCGTCTGATCTGCGTATGATTTCTTCCTGGAGCCGACGGAAGGCTTTGCTGCCCTCGCCATATATCAGCGGCATGTTGACATCGAACAGGCCCAGCAGGCAATACGCCTCGTCTTCAATCCGTGTCGTCTGACGCTCGGCAGCCCAGAACATGCGCCTTGCCACACTGATCTCCGTTGGATCACCGCCTAGTAAGACGTGTACATCGATACCAGTGCTCCTCGAAATACTAATGGCGTGTTCCTTTTTCGTCCCCAGGGGCTCCCAGTCCCCAGAGTAAAAAGCCAATAACCTCGGCGCAATGAGTTCCTGCAGCGTCCATCCACGCGTGAACCAACGACTTGTGGTAATATCTTCACGAGCATAGACATCGCTCAGGAATGCGTAGCAGACATTGGCGGCCTTGTACCAGTTATACATGGAGTTGATGGCTTCTGTCAACTCTGCGCTGCTCGTCTTGTCGATACAACAAGTGTCGATCCAGAGGTAGTTGTATCCCTGAGACAAGGCTAGCACACATGCGTTTCTTAGTTTCGCAAATCCATATTTACTTTGGGCCTGGAGTCGGCTCGATGGACTAGACATGTCCTGAAAGGTGATTTCCTCTTTCTCCCATCTATGAGACAGGATGGCATAAGCTGGAACCTGTTTCTCGAAGAATTCCTCGAACCTGAGAGTTTTTGTATCTAGTAACCTCATGATGACAAAGTGAAATTGACGCTGAAGTGGCCGTTTGTGACTACCAAGTGTCTGCGACAAGAGTTGTTTAACGAGCTGACTATGACAATGGGCAGACTTTCAGACGAGTGCACGATCAGTAACAACTATTATGCCGCAACAGCCGATTTGGCAACTTGTCAGCCGCAGAGTGCATCACGTGTTGAGAGTTGCATTAGACAGAAATGAGGAGACTTCTATTGTGGATCAGGGCGATGAGCAACACAATAGGTCAGTGGTTCCAGTGACTGATGAATCTCCATCATTGTCGGAACTAGGTCGTCAATAAAATGATATAATTCAGAGTGTGGATGAAGTCTCCTAAGTGTCCACATGGTAGCATAGAGTTAGTCGTTTAGATCAAAAAGTCAAGGGGTGGTCTTGGCGCCGGATTTTGCCTGTCGTTTGCTTGGGTTAATGTCAACGATTGCGGTCACGCGGATACACTGCAACTATATAGTCCCATGTAACGCCGACATAACTCGATGCCATGCATAAAGGGTGGTGAATTGATGCTGCTGAAGGCTGAGTTGCTAGGGCTGATATTGCAGAATCTATTCTAAACTTCTGTGAATCTTTCTTCTAGAACCTTAGCAGCTTAAATCAGCATCTCTCCAAGAATAGGGTGATTAGCTGCATCTTATTGATCGGCTCGTCAGCCTCAAGCCATAAGAAAGTCGCGGTAAGTGATCCGGTCCATAACTACTGCATTGATCTCTTCTGAATACGATCAAAGAGACTGGTAGCAGTTTTCTGAAATCAAGCGATGAGGATTATTGACAAACGCATGCTTTTGAGAAAAGCAGTCAAGCGTATGCTCATTGTATAACGAGAGCTCAAGGAGTTGCTCATATCAAAATAAACATCAAAATACGCTAGAGCATCTGCACCATTTCCTGTCTCGCAATCCCTTTTGATACGATAGGTGTACATATCACGATCGTCAATCAGGTGGAGATATCTGCACAGTAGTGGGGAAGTATCAATTTAGTCCCGAGTGTGTGTCTAGATAACGTTGACGATAACGACAGGAATTCCGGGTACTATCCGGACATGTGCGTATCTGGTGGTTTCTTATCTGTCGATTGACCTTCTTGGAACATCGGGCACCCGACTACACTCCACGTCGACTCCATAGTCGGACTCTAGAATCGGATGCTCCGATTACAAACAGTCCTAGATATGCAAGCTCTTCCACCGCTAGCCCGGGTTCGCAATTCTTCCTTTTTTGTTGCCATGGCATTTCACAATTCAAGCAAATTTGTATTGTAGCCGGCATGGACTCCTCAAAAGAGCTTCCGCTGAAGACAGAACCTCCGAGCGTTACGGCACCGCTAGATGTAGCCCCGGGTAGCTCCTCTTCCACCGATATTCAGTCAGTTCCCAGTAACTTGCTATTTCGACTCAAAGAGAAAGTTCGAATTGAGCCCCAGCCTGGTACATTCGCGCCGGGAAGATGGAGCAATGCTGGTAGGTCGTTTTCACCCTCGCTAGGACTCATTGTGGGCTAACCTCGTGTCAGATTTGGATCCTACTCCGCTCGAGCAGCAAACATGGAACAGTTTTAACTGTGAGTCTTGCTCAACGAACAATGCTCCTTGCCTGAGGGATTAATTCTAAACGTACAAGACATATTCTACTGGCTCAACGATGCCATTGCACCAGGTAATCTTAGGCTGGGCTCCTCACTCTACTC